GGTTAATATTTTTGTGATTTGTTTAGTGAAAATTAAAAAAACATTCGTATTTTTTTAATAGAAAAAAACATGTCAGAATTATGAAAACTGGAGTATTAAGCTACTTTTCTGCTCTATGAAATAAAATATTTTGAAAACAAATGTAGAATTTTGCACCCAAAAATATGAAATCGTATATTTTTTTTATTACAAAGTCACAGATGAAAAGTACTGCTTACATGCCCAAATGGCACAATTTTTGGATGTATTTGCAACTGAATCCCGAACGACGGCTTTCTACTGAGAGCATTAAATTCTATTTTACCCCGTGGAGTACATATTGTAAGGTATAAAACTAAAGTTCCTTTTGGAAACACTATAATAATGAGAAAACAGAAAATGTATGCCCTGTACGAAGGGAAATTGGTTGCAGAGTTCCTGAGACATGACTGGTTACAGGTACATTCTTTTTTGTCAAATAAGCGCCATAGCCGCTGGGGCTACGTCCAGACCCGATGGACTGTTGGATTGTTCCACTTGGATGGCGCTTATATTTATGACGACCACTATTTTTCCTATCAAAGGTGCAGTAAACGTCCAAAGTTGGAAAAAAAAAAAAAAAAAAAAAAACCCCAGAGGTAGGAATACTGAATTTCTTACCGATGTAAAGCTTCTTGTATAAGGAAGTAAAAAGAGCGGAATCATTGAATTATTGAGGTATCTATTATTAAATAAATATTTCCCGTTATACAGACAAACATTTACACTGTCAATAAAATAATTGAGACAACTCGACGGAAATTCAAGTATACATGTTCGATTTTTCTCTTTTCCTTAAAATACATTGTAATGTTATTAGTAATTTTTTCAATAACACAAGAAGGTCCCTACAATTCACCCAAAATAATTCAAATGACCTCATTCCACCAGAATTACTCATTGATCGAACCAAGACACAAGTGCTAAATCCGCCAACTAATTGTGATTCCTTTTACCGTGGACGATTTCGCTCGCATTACCCCGAATCGCCGAGTTTCAGCACAACTAGAGAGACGTGAAATATTAACGCAGACGTCCCGAGACGGGATTAAAAAACTCCGTTCCATTGCGTGAAAATTGTTTCACCCGTTATAGCACCGCAAGGGGCCCGACAATCCATTTCGTTGCCCATTATTCTCAATTTTCCCCGCCAAGCTCAACACCGAAAGCACAGAGTTTCATTTCTTTTCCCATCAACTCGCACGCAAAGAGCACATAAGAGACGGGATGAAAACACCACAGGAGTCACGCCCGTTGAGCAACAACTAATCGAGATAATGAACGCAAACAAGTTGCCCGAGGCTGCATGGAATAAACCGAGTGTTTAATACAAAGCAAACTCCCTGCAGTGGGGGGGTGCAGCAGTTGTTCACTCACCCGCGTAGCGGCGTCTCTTGTACTCGGGAATCTTGATCTTGTCGACGAGCTCGTCGGCCACGGGCAGGGGGTTGTACGGGTTCCCGGAGTGCACGGCCGCGTGGCCAAAGTAAAGAAACATGGGCTGGCTCTCGTTGTGACTGTTTATCAGCTTGACGGCCTCTTTGGTAAATACGTCCGTGGAGTACTGGCCGTGCAGGTCCCAGGCCGTGTCCATGTTTCTCCGCATGTCGAGACCCCAGTAGGGCTGTGTTCGAAGGGCACGCAGAAAATCACGATTATTTTGCAGTTAGAGTATAAGGTAAATGTCCTAATTATCGATCATTTTTATCTTAATATAAGTTTTTTCCACCGTGAGTGAATTGTCATTGGGGCACCAAAAAATAATTTTTTTTTTTTTATGCAAATCCACCTTGTTGTTCGATGAAACTATATATCTGAGGCCTATATAATTAGGACATTCGCCTTAATACATTGAAAGAAGAGAAAAAAACTTAATCACGACTTTACACTGTTATTGTATTTTCAGGACAAATGAATCTCTCGGGATAGTTTGATTACAGGACTTGACAAATCATTTTACAGGCACCGTGCGCATGTGTACGATGTTTAGAACTAATGAGGGTTACTCCACCATCAGGTGGCGGTAGTGTGCCCATGTAAGATTTCCACAGAACTATAACTATAAATGCATTCAATGTACAGATGATGTTCCGTGAAAATCTTACATGGCCCCACTATCGCCATCTGATGGTAGAATAACCCCCATACATGCTAATTAGTATTTTTAAGCGAAACAGCCAGACAGTGCTGTAGAAACATTTTTTAATGAAAAATATTTCGTATAAATTATACATGCAACTATAATGAAATTGGAAAAGTGGATAAGTGTACCGAAAAAAATGTTAAGTTGGTCTTATCAAATTTCATCAATTCCAATAATTTTTCTTTATCATTTTTCTCTCTTGAAATTTATCCATAGACGTAATCATGTTTTTTTTAATTTTTTACTTAACCCGGAAACGATCGATAATAAACCCTACGATTTTATTTTTTGCTGACATTAAATTTTATCTCGCTGATGCAGCGTAAAGGAAAAATTGCGAGTCTTATTATTACGAGGTCGGTTGAGAGCTTTGAAAAGTTACTTTTAAAAACATGCCAAGAAATGCAAAAAAATAAAGTTGAAAAAACACGTGGGTAAATAACTTTCCTGTTCGACAGCAGTATGGTCGTAATAATCATGCCGGCCGGTCCAATAACCCAAATGGCTTTCGAAGCCACGGTGGGTCGGGGTGTACTCCTTCTTGTAAAAGCCGAGGTGCCATTTGCCAACAATGTGCGTGCGATAGCCGAGTTCCTGAAGGTATTGAGGAAGCAGTTTCTCCTGCAGCGGCAAACCTCGAGGCTCCGCTCCCTTGAGCACCTTATTGGAGAAGAGAAAAACCACCGTTACTGTGTCTGCTTATTCGATAACGTAACATTAATAGTCCACGATGGCACGAGAATTCCAAGGAGTCCTCGTGGATTATTGACTTCCCGGCTGCGCGGTGGATTGTACGTATACCCTATAGCTATAATTAATACCGTCAGTTTTATCTTGAGTAATTACAAAACGAATATTTTTACCACTGTTTCTTTATTAAAATGTAGTTTTATTATTTCATATTGTTAATCAGTAGTTGATTTTTCTTAGTGTTTATTTCATTTTTATGAATAATACGACCATCAAGCAAAGCAATATTTTTAAAAGTAATACAATAGGTTCACACATATGCTCAGCCAAACCGTGGTATGTTAAATGATTGAGAAGACAAATTCAGGCAACCACTGGTTTAATCTTTCGTTTTTTAAACAACTACTCGTCACGTCACTGGTGAGCATCTTTTCGCTATTTTTTCTACCAAGGTCATAGAACACATTCAAGTTTTAAAAAAAACGTCCAAGGTAGAAACAATCTTTTTTATTTTCCAGAAAATGAATAAAATACTTTCATAATTTTGCATTCAATTGTAGTAAGGAAAATTTTTAAATTCAAATTTTTTAGGATATTTGGAATGTATAGTAAATGAAATTTAATTTTTACGGAAAATTGTTAACAAGATTAAACTAAATTTTATTAAAGTTGATTAAAGAGTCTTTGGTTTAAAATATCTTAGAGGAACTCATCACTTAATCCATAAACGAAAAAGTTTTTGATAAATGTACACATTTTTCGATAGTAATTTAAAAATAACTAAATTAATTGAAATTCTTTAACTATAAAAAATTGTTGATGCGTTGTGAGATACAATTATTGTCCGAGAATGGATTTGAATAGATCTTTTGTATAAGATTTTTTGACTTTATATATTACAAAATAGTATCTTTTTTTTTACTCACCACATCATTTGTCACATATAGTTTAAAATTATTAAAGCTATTTTAATAATATTTATTTTAGTTTATTACTGATTTCCAGTACATTTTTACACTTTTACTAATTTTGATTTTTGTATTTTTCGAGATAACAGCGCTGATAAATTAAATTTGTATTCACATAAGATATCCTTTGAAAACGAAGACCTTCTGATTGTAATAATAACTGTTACTTATTTTAATCGTATTTGCATGTTAATGCATTACTATAAATATAAATAAATTTTTCAAGCATCAGTTTTTTAAGAAAGTTATGAGAGGAACGTCTTTTTCATTTTTTTTTAAGTTAAAATAAATATTCTTAATCAATAGTTTTGTAGTGTATTTTCCACTTTTCCCTCTACTTTTCTCCAACATTTTCCGCGATCCCGCTGCCTCCTAAATATTTATATCCCAATGAAACCAGCTTTTTTCTCCAGTGGCTTATTCGAGCCGGCTCTTGCATCTCATTTCAACAATACCAATTCTGTGGCTTTTCCACGGAAACTTTTTCATCGCGAGCGTTTGAATTTCGTTTTGCTGTCCCTCATCTATTATAATACGAGCTTCTCCTCCAATGCCATTCTTATATCGAAGATTCCTTTGCTTTAATAATCTGATTTCAATGATCATGTCTTTCGCAAATGTTATAGAAGCTTTTTTCTCGATGACATGCGTTATTGGGTTATTGATGCTTTCATTAAAAATCAACTCTAACTGGGAACATTTATTTGACGTCAAAGAAAGTATCGCTCGAATTGAAGATGAACCAATTATAATGAATATCAATAGCTGCTAGAATACTTGCTTATATTTATGAGGTAGAGAAAAATTATTGCCAGTAATATGGTTCTCTGCTGTAATAAGCCTATACCTTTGAATCAAATAATAGCACTTAAAATAGTAAAGCTGCTACATCATATCACTAAATGTCAGTAGACATATATGTGGATTTTATAACTGTAGGATTGCGTTACGAAAAAGTTTGATCTTTTTAGTTAATCAAAGACTTTCTGGGGTATCCCCGAAATTAAGAGTTTTGATCTCATTAATCCACATTTCATTATACGATAAATACAAAAAACAAAATTAAAAATACAATTCAAGATATTACACGTATTCATGGAAAAACTCCATCCTAATCCTATATACTCTTGCTGTTGGCTTAGTCGATCTCTTACTGGTTCCAGTACATCTCCTTTAAGGTTACATATGAATAACTGCATGACATGGATAACTCCGGTACATGGAATTTCTCAGTGTTAAAAAACTAAAGCCATTTCAAAAAATTTATCTAATAATAANATAGATTGCTGTCGGTTCCAATGTCACAGAGTAATTATAAAAAAGAATTAAATACTATTAAACAATTAGCTAAAAATAACGGATATAATCAAAATTTGATAGATGGAATTATTAACAAAGTAAAGTATAAAATCGCAATTAAAAATGTTTATCCAATAGTAAATAAAGATAAAGACTTTTTTCATGTTTGTACGTTTTTCGGAGAAGTATCTAATTTTTTAAAAAAGGAACTAAAATCTTATGGATTACATATTGCTTTTAGAACACAGAAAAGCTTACAAAAATTAATAAAAAATAATAGAAGTGAAACACTGAAGCCTCAGAAGTCAGGGGTATATAGTTTGCAATGTGGGTCTTGTGATAAAGTGTACATAGGACAAACTGGTAAGTCTTTTGATAAACGTTTGAAAGAACATAGGAAGGCTTTTGTCGGTGGTACAGAGAAATCAAATTATGCATCTCATCTGTTAGAATTTAATCATGAGTTTAATCATGATTTTAAAATTTTGCATGTAGCCTCTAAAGGTATATTATTGGATTCTTTAGAAACAGCCGAGATTAATAATTTGAAAAACACCGACCGCTTACTTAATTGTCAGCTAGATTTGAATGACTCACCTTTATTAAATTTATAATAATAGTAACGTTCGTAAATAGCTTTGATAGGTGACGTTGTACTGATGTGTATGAATACAATATGTTGTAGAACCGAATAGAGTTTAGTTTATAAACCTCTGTGTCTGAGGAAGGTACAGTGTACCGAAACAATTTTAACACTTATATGTGACAATAAATTGTCAAGATTTATTTATAAACTCGTTTTTCATTTCATTTTAATATGGAATTGAATCTTCATCAAGTAACGACCGAAAGTATTAATTATTACTATGTCAGTTGTACGTCCAGCATACTTACAAACTTGTTCCACTAGTTTTCAGAAAATTCACTTTCCTCATTGTTTCCACCATGAGAATGAATAATTGAATAGATTATGCTAACACCAAAGTGAATTCTGTCGAAAAAAGAGAAAAAAAGTGGCAAAAATATCCGGCGGTCCTGTTTGTTTTTCAAACTCTATTTGATTGAGACTTTTCCGTTCGGGTCCACAGTTGTATACGTTTTGCATCGCTCATATTCCACCGTCCGACGGGATATCGAGCAGACCTCAATATATGTATTTATGACGAGATTATGCACGACGGCCCGATTTCGTTTATCAGTTTATTCACGTGACGGGCTGTAATCTCCGTGAAACGCAATCCAACTTTATATAAGTGCATCATGTTATCGTTGATCTGTTCTGAATAATGGCTTAATCAAATTTTAGTCCGTTGTCAAGTCCATCCTTCCACTTTGGAGCATCGAACTAGGAATTGGCTTGCGAACACCATCGTACATTCCGATTAGGAAATCCGAAAAAGTGTTATAGCAATTGGACATCCATTTTCTAAAAATGTCCTGATGGCGTTGTCCAGATTTCCACGCGGCGTCCACAAAAATTGATTGAAATTCGGAGCAGAAAATAGATAAAACCATACGACCAGCGTATGTGACCAAAATTTTTTATTTTGTGATTATTATTGTTATTTTTTTTTTGGTAACAGCTATTGCCAGCGTAATGGACTCGTCGGTGGGTAAAGTCGTCGAGGCTCTTGAGAAGAAAAATATGCTGCGAGACAGTATTATCGTCTTCACTACTGACAACGGCGGTCCCGCCGCAGGTTTCAACTTGAACGCCGCTTCCAATTGGCCTCTCAGGGGAGTTAAGGACACTTTGTTTGAAGGTGAGTCGAGGGAGACTTTTTTTCGCTCGTTTCTATTCTTTCGCGTGCCGGGGGTTTTTCTCGTCGAGTGGCCGTGAAAAAAAAAAGTCTATTGAAATTGCCCGCGACGCCATTGACGAGGGCACACGTGGAACGTGCTTAAAAATTGTGCAACTGGAAATTGTTATTTTTGTTGCACTGATAAAATGCTTACGACGACTAGAATGCTCGAAAGTTTGTACTATGAGTACGAAAAAATACGTATTCTTTTTAACGATGTGACTTATATGAAAACAGTACTTTTTTATTTAGTGCAGCTTGTGAGTCACTTTTATAACAGTAAAATTGATTATCATATCACGATGACTTTTACAATGAAACGGAGCTTATTTTCATGAAATAAGATACATTGATCAGGCATATATTTGGATGTTTTGTGAACAAGCGACGCGTGCAGTATAAACTCGTGTGGTGCAGTGCACAATTGGTGCATACACGCACACTTGGGCACAGATACTTTTGAAATTTTTTAGTAATGTTTATTTTTCTTGAATTTGGAATACGTAATTTATGTTGAAAAATTTTTTTTCTCCAATTAGTCCGTATGACACAGTACTCAACAAAACTATTTCTGGTGAGAATAGTGTATTGTAGATATA